TGTCATGAAAGAAAATGTTGAGAAAAATCGCGGAACTGAAAAAATTGACTGTTCTATTGTGATATGAAATTTTGTGTGGAATAATTTCAGAATGTCTTTTGGAATTGAAAATTCTTATTGAGAAAAACCGAAAAAATCGAGAAAGTTAGTATATTTTCTATGCATGCTGGTATATGGTTGCCATACCCAAATTTTCAATTTTGATTAGATATGGAAATAATCCATCCAATGAGAACTCAAAATGCAAAATTCATTGGGAGTTCAATCAGTGAAATACGAATATGAAGAGGCACTGTAATATGCGAACTATACAAAATAGTAGAGTGAATTGGAAATATAGTAAGAAAAGGATTCATATACTCGGAAAGTTCTTCCGAACCCTTAAAAGTAACCTCAAATCATAGGTAACACTATAGAGCACTATGCTCTATCGTCAGTAATTACACTGCGCCGCAGATAATCTTGGGGTTAGACAATTTTTCGGTTGGTAAATAATAATTCCAAAAGAGAGGTTCCCGGATCTATTTTTTTAGAGTTCATTTTATATAGCTTAACTATACACAAAGGGCCGCAAATATTTTGCCCTATAATCCGAAAAGTTACGATAAAGTTTTAAATTTGATACAGTCCTAGGGGTTGCATGAGGAATCATTTGTACAAAATATGTATCAGGTTGGTCTACATTGTAATATAGGTGTAAAAGTACCTCCTGATTTTAACTATTTCGATGGTTTTGATTATATTTTCGGATCGATTTGACTTAAAATGTGTGTTTAGGCCACTTTGGGGTTAGAGAACCGTTTTACATGGGCCTATTATAAACAATTAATGTATACTTTTTAACATATATGCTATATTATTTAGGTTTTAAACTCTCAAACTAAAACCTCTTACTGAAAATTAGGATCAGGTTTTTTGAAAGTCGTGTTTATTTCTATTTAATCGAGTCATCATTTTTATTAAAAATTGTACCACTTATGTGAACCAGATTTGTGAATTATTATGCTCTAAAAACTATGCATTAATGACTAAAACTACGGGCCGGCAACGCGGACTGGGCCAGCTAAATATGTATGCAGAACTCGTGAAGCTACAGCTATTTTTCTTAAGATTGGCACTTAAATATGAAAGAATTAAATATTAAAGTTCATGCTTGATCTTAAAGATAAATTTAGCTCTGATGTCTGGCGAACTCTTTGCATATAATTCTATGTATTTATAACTTTTGCGTTTTAATATTTTTAAAATTTACATATTTTTGAAATTCAAATAAAATGTGTTTTCTCACTTTTGAGTAAAATTCTTGATCATATTCTGGATCAATATAAAATTCATGTCCATCCGTCCGTCTGACTGTCTGTGAAAATTACTCTCGCATCCGAACAAGATAATATTAAATATTTTTATAAGACCGTTTTCTACCTGATACGAATACCAAATATATCTAGATTTTTAAAAGTAAGGATTGTGAGGCGTATTTATATTAAGCCATTTCAAAAGTTGAGTTCAAAAATTTTAACTTTTCCATTCCGTTTGTAACTCCTCGATATAAGCATTTTAGACCCCACAGAATATATATATTCTTGATCAACATGAGATACTATGTCTAATTAGCCATGTCCGTCCCTTTGTATATCTGTACGTCTGTGGAAATCACTTTTGCTTCCGAAGAAAATGAAGTATAGGTTGATTTTGTAGAGATCTATTCTATATCCGTAGAATTTTTGATATGGAAAATGGGCCAAATATGTCCATATTTTAATATACTCCCCATTTAACTGAACCGCCAGAATTAAGGTGTTTTGGCTATTTTAGTCATATACCTGAAGAAAATTGCTGTATATGGGAAATTTGTGTTTCGTATATGTAGAAAACATCCTTGAAAAGCACATATAAGCATATAAATCCAAGTTTGGGTATGGTCCCCATGTAACTGAACCCCCTGTGTTCGGTTTGTCACAATTTTCACCGGAATTGAATTTAATATTTAGAGTTAGTAATGAATATTACCTCCAACGACTTAACACCACGTCTTCGTATAACGCCCATTGGACGGTACCTCCCTATATTCGGTATTTTGATGATTTTATCTCCACTTTATCTGCAGATAATTGGCTATAGAGGTCCACATTTTCGTATATAGCGATATAACACCGCATATTAGGATTTTTAAAATTATAGCGGCATTTTTCAGCAATTTTTTTTACACTTTACAAGTTCCTTCCAAATGGAGGAGGGTATTAAAAGTTCGACTCAACTTCAAAAGAAAAAAATGAACCCCTATAGTGGCGTTATATCCAAACATGGACTGATGACCATTTCCAACGCCAATCCTCTCAAGGAAATATAGAGTGGACCCAGAAATTTAGGACGGATTTGAACCTTCGTTAGCCACACACCACTGAAAGTCCACATAAATACAAACACTAATATTATCTTGTATTCATTTATTCATAATAAAGGAAAGAAAACACATATGTATTTATTTACAAGCTAGGGACTTAGGACATGGAGAATCTTTGTTCTGATTGCAACTGATTCTTATATAAAAGGAAAAGGAATGGAAGAACTGTATCGGTATATGCACTGGCAGAGCGACGGATATGCGCGGGAGAATTATGATCTAAAAAATGTGCTAAACACAGCTGTAAACATTGTAAATTACATCAAAACAAGATCGTTTGCTCAGAAGTTTTGTGAAGAAATGGGTGGTCTTCATACCTCTCTTCTTCTTCATATATTATCCAGAGGAAAGGTACTGACACGATTAGTGGAACTACGGCATGAAGTATCAATATGTGGTGTCCGTTGGAATTGCAATCTTCGAATTTCGAAAAAAGGAAAGTTGTGCTGAATTGTGCTAGGTTTGTGCTCAAATGTGCCGAAATTTTTTCAATATCTCTTACCAATTCCGAAAAAAACGACAATTTCGAAAGTATGTCAGAATTGCAATTTTCGAATTTCGAAAAAATAAGAGTTGTGATGGGTTGTGCTTGATTTGTGCTAACTTGTGTCGTTTATTTTTTCTCAATATCTTCAACCGTTTTCAAGATATGGCAATTTCGAAAAAACCAGTATTTTTCAGAAAAATTGCTGTAATTTTTGTAAAAATTCAAATATCGAGATGCGCTGAGTTGTGCTCATTTAGCACATTTTTTCGTCCATACATAACGAATTTCCAACTTAACTCGTTACTCGCTAAAAATTAAAAAATATATATAACTTTTGTAATATGTGGAATTTTTGAAATCTGCTGAATTGTGCTCACCTAGCACAACTTTTCGTCCATACATGGGAAATTTGTATCTCTACCCCTTTAAAAAAGTAAAAATCAAAATCGCATATTTAGAAACAAGATATCGAAAACTAAAAGTTGTGCTGAATTGTGCTAACCTAGCACAATTTTTCGTCCATACATTGAAAATTTGTATTTCCACTCGTTACTAGTTAAAATTGGAAAAAATACATATATAACGAAAAATTGCTGTAATTTTTGTAAAAATTGTAAAAAATAAGTGAGCACAACTCAGCACAATTTACCACATCTCGATATTTGAATTTTTAAAAAATTACAGCTATTTTTTTGAAAATAACTGTTTTTTTTCGAAATTGCCATATTGAAAACGGTTGAAGATATTGAGAAAAAATAAACGGCACAAGTTAGCACAAATCAAGCACAACCCAGCACAACTCTTACTTTTCCGAAATTCGAAAATTGCAATTCTGACATACTTTCGAAATTGGTAAGAGATATTCAAAAAATTTTAACGGCACAAATGGGCACAAACCGAGTACGACTTAGCACAACTTTAATTTTTTCGAAATTCGGAAATTGCAATTCTCTCGGATTTTTTCGAAAAAAAAATCTTTTTTCGAATATCTCAGAAATTTTTTCGAATTTAGAAAAAAATTTCGGCACAAACCTAGCACAATTCAGCACAACTTTACTTTTTTTGGAATTCGAAAATTGCAATTTCAACGGACACCACATAGTATCAATAAACTAAGAAGGATGAATATTTTAAACATTTACAGTACGAAGAATTCCTTCTTAAATTAACATTTTTGGAGGACATTTGTTTCAAGTTAAAAAAAAAATAACTTGTATCTCCAAGGTTCAAAGGAATCAGAATTTTGAATTACTTTCAATCCCAATGTAGAAAACCAAGTACAATCAAAGATGAACATACTTTCTGTAAGAAATAACTTTGAGGTCAATTTCGGTGAAGAGCTTGAATTTGAATTGGATATGTAGCCCATTTCTGATGTAAGTACCAACTTATATGTCGACAAAAGAAAAGACACTTCATTGAGAAATACTTCCAATCGCAAACAATTACAGAAATTCTGCATTCGATTGCTGGGAAGTATCCTTGCTTGTTTGATGAAGTTATCAAAGATCTCCATCCCTTTACTACTTCATACTTATATGATGCCGGATTTTCGGCTATCGTCAAAGTAAAATGTAAATAACGAAATAAATTGAATATACCAAACTAACTGCGACTATAATGACAAAAAAGAAAACAAACCCGTCTTTGCCATTGACACAACTTGTTTGAACGCTATTTTAGTATTTATTAAAAAGTTACTGGTATTAACAGTATGTATGTGTTTTTTAAAACAGATAATAGGTGAGTCGAAATATTTTAAGTTTTTCGTCAGCAAGTTTGGGAACACTATTCTAGATATAGACTTCTTTAAATCGACTAAAAAATATTTATCAAAAGTTCATATTTCTATGTATTGCAATTGGAATGGCACAATTGTTATACCCTTCATCTTATGCTGTTGGCTGCTTCTACCACCAGCGTCATTAACTTTCAACTCTTCTTAATCGATTCCAATCCCAATCAATAAGATTTTCATAGGTGGTATATAAATAATGCTGTCGTGAATAAATGACACAATTTAGACGAATATTAAAAACCATGAAGCACTCCTAATGATTCTGGTCAGCAATGAATTGATATTATTTTTAATTTTTCTTCTCATTTCAGATATTAAAATGAATCTAGGTTTCACATTGGATGCTTAACAAAAACACAGTTCTTGACCACGCAATTTTCCAAACTATGTTCGAGCCTGCCGCATTTTAATCAGGTAAATGTATATTCCATAAATGACAAATTTGTGAAAAAAATCTACATCATAAAAATCAAATCTTCCACGCATTCAACATTTTGTAAAATTATGTTCAGCAAAACAGCTTCTTCCTTTGTAGGTGAAATGCTTGCGTTCTCAAATATTTTGTTAAGAATGTGTAAACATATACTTAGTATTACTCAATCAAAGAAACTTACTGAGTAAATTCTGTGGAAAATATAATGACTCAGATATCGTTAAACTTAAGAAAGTATACATTTTATATTTCCTATTATGCATATCTTTTTATATTATTTTCTTAAACTTCTGATGTCCCAATTAAAATATCGTAAATAAATTGAACAATTTTGATAAAAAACTAAGTTAATCTGCAACAAGGAACAATATGGACATTAGCTACCAGTTTTTCTCATTAGAGTAAAATACGTTCTCTGCAATTGAACCGCGGCCATAGACTGAGGTTCGAGGGAAACATGTAAAACACCATAATTGCGTTTTCAATTAAGAAATACCAAACAAAATCATTCAACTAACCGCCGAACAACAAACCACGGCAGTCAACCATTTCAACCACCACCGACCCGCCTGAACAGCGCGGTGTATTGCCTGGAACATAAGTGGCATACCAACTGCAAATGTACAATAAACTTTTTAATAACGATGTAAACAAAATCCCAGTGGGTGTCCAGGGAGGGGACGCAAAGAGAATGAAAATCAGCGCCAAGTGAAAGGACAAGTAACAAACAGTAGGAAGATAAACTTTAAACAATTTGAAAGGAAATCTAATAATTGTATTTAGACCCCTCAATTTCGTCAACAATTTTTTATAACCTGCACCCCACGCTGTGGGTGTGCAACACATAGAGGGAAACTGGATGGTCTCATAAATCATAATCGCTTTTGATAATTCACTCATTTTGAGTCCATTTATGCCTCCGATAACTGTCTTATATTGAATATACATACATGCATATATGCGTATGTACATATATGTATGTACGTGGATACGTTTGTAACAGGCAAAAGGAAACGAGATAGAGAGTTCCTTGTAAGTACGTTCTCACCTGGAAGAGAGTTTTTTTACTTGTTTCTCAGTAGATATAATATTACGGTACCTCTTAATATTCGGTATTTTGATTAGCGACATTAATTACTGGAATTGTTTAAAATCTCGTATCGGACGATCTTAATGGGTTCTACAAATTATGACAAAAATTACTTATGCAGGTCCACGTTTTTGTTTACCCCCCATATAACAGTACCTCTAACTATTCGGTATTTTTATGGTATTAGAGATACTACAGATCGGAATTTCGAACTATAAATACGAAATTTGAAATAATTCCAAAAATTGCGTATGCCTTCGTTTAGCCACCACATAAAGATACCTCCCGATATTCTGTATTTTGATGATTTTAGAGACATTCATCACCGGAATCGTGTCAAATTTCGTATTTGAACGTTCTACAGGGGTGCTACAGCCTATAATAAAAAATTGCGTATGCAGGTCCTCGTCTTCGCATAGCCATCATATAACAGTTTCCATTTAAACGGTATTTTACGACGAAATGTTCTTAACTTTTGCAAGTTGGTGGAGGGTATTGAAAGTTCGATCCGGCTTAACTTACTATTTGTTATGCACAAAATAAATACATGCACAAAATTGGCAGCAGTCGGGTACACTTAGAAAAAAAGTTGTAATCAGCTGGTAGCTCTACCTTGTACCATGGTTAGAGCTACCTGCTGATTACAATTATTATTGATTCTAATACTTCTGCCAATTTTGTGTTTGTATTCTGTTTTTTTATTTTGAAGAATAAAAACAAAACATTTTTTAAATCGTTGATTGGAAGAAATGAACATGCTGGGCTCGCATCAAGGATATTAACCAGTTTTACCTTGAAAATCCACATATTTTATTCATCTTTCGGCTTTTTATTTCTTTTTAAGAATCAGGAAAAAATTAGGTAAATACAAACAACTGGTTGCATCTAGTTTTAAATAACCGGGTATAGCGCCAGGGTCATGTATCAGTTTGAGTGTTTGTGTAGGCAACATTTGTGAATGACATTTTATTTAATAACATTTCAATTATGATAAAACATAAAACTCACAATATCTTACTTTAATAAATCAGTAACAACTTAAAAATAACTAACAATTTACAACAAAGTAAGTTTATGGCATAAAGTTGGCAGACTCGTAAATTTTCGAAGTCTGCGTTATTGCCTTCTTTCAATATACAATCAATCTGCATTATTGGGCTGTTTTATTTTACAAGTCAATTTCGACTGTCACATTTTCTCGGCAAACACATAAATACTAAGGAATTTTGTTTATTTACGTGACTGCACGAAATTGACATCCATTAATCAAATATCTGTCATTTACGATGAAATATGATTCATTCATTATATTAGGCAGGGAATAATGTAGTCAGTTTTATTCTTTTAAATGGAAAATATATTTGTATTTACAGTCAAATCTGAGTAAATCGCACACTGTATAAATATAAAAAAATTCAGAAGCATGGTGTGAAACTTTACAATGCTGTTTAATAGCATTTGGTGAGAAGGACAAGACAAAAAATTTTCTTGGAATGGTCATATCTATAATTTCTATTGTTTTCATACCCTACAACACTATGTGTTGGTTTGATTGGGTCAAACATTATGTAACACCACGAAATATTGGTTTCCCACATAGGAAAGTATATATGGATCTTTCTATCTCGCCGAGCTGAGTCGATCTAGCTATGTACGTCCGTCCGTCTGTCCATGTTAATTTGTAATCACTCTACAAGTCGTAAGATCGGGCCATAATCTTCACGAAATTTAAAATGGAGGTGGAGATATGGCCAGAATAGAACCCTATTGTTTTTGGAGATTATCGCATAATATTTAGGGGTTGCATTGATTTTGCAGCCGTTATAAAGGTCACAAATAGAAACCAAATGTCACGAAATCTCGCATGAAGTGAGAGTTTAGGACAGCGGGTAGAATGGACCACTACTTTTGTGTGAAAAAAAAAAAAACAAAAAATTAAATTCTACCGAAACGCTGAAAATAACTTACTGGCGATATCCAAAATACACAAAAAGGCGAACTTCTCGCTTTTTATGCCGATTTCGTTGACGAATATTGCCAAATATCGTAGATAAGCAAATCATATAGATGAGTCTGAATTTGGAGATACAGAGGGACGTCTTGCTTTTGGAGATGATCGCAATGATGAGAGATGATCGTTCAAATGAACCAAAAACAGAAAAAATTTCCTGATCACACAATTAAACCAATCGACACGCCTAAGAAGATTGTTAAGCACAGGGAAGAGTACTTGCATTTTGGATGACCATTGGATTATATTAAGACGTAAAATGGACCACAACAACTAACAGCACGACGGAGTGCGTAAATATTGGGCAAATGTCCCTGGTCAAAATGCTAAGGGTAATATCTGGGTAGTGCTCCGTGACATAATTTCAAAAGCGAAATCTTCCAAAATTTGGACATGAGGGGGCTTCTAACATATTGTAGTGTTGTAGGGTATCACATGGTCGGCCCCGTACGACTATAGCCTTTGCTTACTTGTTATATTTACCAATATTTGTTATAGACTTTACAAATAGGAATGTCGATCTTATGGCCAAAAGAACCTGAAATATTAAATTTGTCTAAAAAATGGGGCCTAAATCTAAAAAAAGCAAAAATTACCTTTATATGGGGAGCTATACCAAAAATTGGACTTACATCTAAGTTCAGCCAGGCCGAACTTTTAATACCTTCCACAACTTGGAAGCAACTTGCAAAATGTTAACAACATTTCGTCGAAAAATAACGTTTAAATAAAAACCGTTATATGGGGGCTATAGGAAGACTAGGGCCTGCATACGCAATGTTCTATGATTGACTGTGGTACCCATAAGAACATTTAACAAGTAAAAAAGCTGCTCCACCATTTGGTACGAATTTAACAATTTTCAAAAAAATAAAGGGATTTTAAAATTCTGTTAAAATCATGTAGCAGTATATTAGAGTCTATATGGCCACGTGGACCTGCATAGGCAACTTTTGTCACAAGGCAACTTATATCACAATATTCAAATGCGAAACTTGAAAAAAATCTGTTTATAATGTAGCTAAAATCGTCACAATACCGAATATAGGGAGGTACCATGGTGGTTATAAAACGTGGATCTGCACAGAAAATTTTTTGTCATAGGCTGTTATATCGAACTTCACGAACTTCAAATGCGAAATTTGAAACAATTCCGATAAATAATTTCGATAAAATCATCAAAATACCGAATATCGGGATGTACCGTTATATGGGGGCTATACGAAGACGTGGACCTGCACAGACAATTTTCTGTCATAGGCTGTAGTATTCATTACGAACTTCAAATGCGAAATTTGAAACAATTCCGGTAAATAGGTTCGCTAAAATCATGAAAATACCGAAGATCGGGGGGTACCGTTATATGGGGGCTATACGAAGGCGTGGTCCTGCACAGACAATTTTCTGTGATAGGCTGTAGCATCCATTACGAACTTCAAATACAAAATGAGAAACATTTCTGGTAAATAATGTCGCTAAAATCATGAAAATACTGAATATAGGGGGGTACCGTTATATGGGGGCTATACGAAGACGTAGACCTACATGGCTCATTTTCTGTCTTAGGATGTAGTATCCATTACGAACTTCAAATACCAAAATTGAAGCAATTCCGGTAAATAATGTGGCTAAAATGATCAAAATACCGAATATCGGGGGGTACCCTTACATGGAGGCTATCCATTTTCAATACCAAAAGTCCTGCAGACATAGTACACATTTGAGTAAAATTTTATCAACCTACTTCATTTCGTTCGGAAGCTAGAGTGATTTCCACAGACGGATAGACGGACAGGCGGACGGACATTGATAAATCGACATAGAATTTTATGCTGATCAAGCCTAAAATGTATATTTCGAGGTGTTACAAACGGAATGAC